AAAGTAATTCCAAGATATTTGTAGGTAGTGACAATATCAAGGGGTTTGTTTAAAAAAGTGAGTTGATTTGTTATATTGAAATGACTCCTGGGTGAGGAAAAATACATGCACACAGTTTTTTTTTAACATTAATTGACAACAGATTATCTTGAAGCCAACCATGAAATGTCTGAAGATCTGCTTKTAACTGACTATTAATAGATTCAATATTGAAATCAGACAAAAAAAGAACAGTATCATCAGCATACTTTAAAATATTTGAATACTTCAATATTTTTGGAAGGTCATTTATGTATAATAGGAAAAGCAAAGGGCCCAGTATGCTACCCTGCAGAACTCCCACGGAACAGGGCAGAGACCCGGACACAGAGCTTCCATGTTTCACAACCTGACACCTATCAGTCAATTAAGAGGAAAATATTTGTATTGCAGATGATGAAAGTTGAAAAGAAATCAACTTTTGTAAGAGAGTATAATGATCAACTGTGTCAAACGCTTTACGAAAATCAATATATACAGCACCAGTTACTTGACCTTTGTTCAAAGCAGCACGTATTTGTTCAGTGAATAAAATTAATGCAGACATGGTTGACCTTGACGTGCGGAACCCATGTTGGCTGTTGCTTAGCATATTATTAGCTTCTAGATGATGAAGTAGTTGGTTAAATTATGTTTTTTTCAAGTAACTTAGAAAAAATAGGAAGAACAAAAATTGGCCGATAGTTTGAAACTTCTGTTGGATCACCAGATTTAAAATGGGAGTAATCTGAGCAAACTTCCAGGCATCAGGGAAAATAGACTGCACCATACATAAATTAAGCAAATGATGAAACAATGGTAAAAAAGTGTTGGCATGCATTTTCAAGAAATCCATATTTATCTTACATTTGTCAAATGCATGTGAGCCATTTAGAGATTGGAGTGAATTCAAAACATCACTCTGTGAAATTTCAGAAAATGAAAATTGCTTTGAAGTGTCTGGATATTTAAATAACTTTAAACTATTAGCTTGATAGGATTGCACTATCACAGCAGTGAATTTAGTTTAAGGCAAGTCAAAAAACAACATAGACCTTAAATCTGATGTTGAGGAATGATCAGCTTTAAAAAAAACGGTCTGTAAACAATGAGGCCCAGGTTTTCAAGGCATGTATTTTTGAGCTTGACTGTGAAGCTACCAAGCTGTACTAGACAGAGATTTGATTTACTGTTTGTGTCAGTAGAACTAAACTGTTGTTTGAAGTGTGCCTCCTGCTCTTCTTGGCAGGCTTGAAGCTGTCTGTGTGCTCTGTGCTAGTATTTCCACAGCATTCCTAAAATGGAGTGGGAGGGTGGGGGTAAGCGGATGAAATATTGGCTCGCACCGCTGAAGGCTGAGGCCCTCTACTCTGTGGAAAAGGCGAGAGCAAAATAGAACAGAGGAGGAGAGTGGAGCGAGGGAGGGAGGTGACTGAGTTCATTTGCAGTGTTGGCAGTGAGCCATAGACTTGCCTGTGGGTGTCTGTAGCAGTGCCAGCGCATGTGTTTAGCCTCTCGTCTGGAAAGGCCCTCTTTGCCTGAAAGTTGATGTCAAATTTCTCTCTTTGTGTTGGTCCTCTCATCCTGATTCAGGTTGTTTTTGCCTTCTGTAGATCTTGTGACTGGGTTCAGATGTGTTTTTATTCATCTTATGGGAACCACTTTCAAATGGTTAGCCATTAAAAAAAGGCTTCTGCGAGGAGTGGCTTATTTCATACTTTTTTTTATTCTTCTCTACTTTCTCCTTTTTTGTTGAGAATTAAGCATACTGCATCAATTAAAGCATTTAAAATAATTTAATAAGTAGTAATTTTATATATTGATGTTTCTGAAATGAATATTGAGTGCTCAAGAAAACAGTTGTAGTAGTTTAGACTACTGAACACAAAGAAAGTTGTATTTGGTGTGAGACTTGGAGCAGTGTTTTTCCCATCTCTTAGTCTTTATGTTTACAGAGCTCCTCTGTCTCTTAAAGCCTGAGCCATGTTCAGCCTTTCGTAATAGAGCTCTTTGCGTAACTGCAATCAAGTGACACTGTGCTTGTGACAGTTGGGCAGGAAGGAAGGGTAGATAATACCCGTCTTTGTGCTTCAGGAAAAAAGAAGAAAGTCAAAAACCACCAACAATAGAAAGTGGCACACTTTACCTTAAGTTGTATATACAGAGCCAAAAACGGATGTCTTAGTATAGTCTGATTGTGTTTTTTTTTTTTAACTACAGGTTAAATAGATGGTTACACAATGTGTCTCAGTTGGGAAACAAGTGACTGAGGAACCATGACAAACTACAGTAGCTGACCAAGCGCAGTTTCTAGTATTCACATCCCCACTAACTATAAAATAGCGTGTTTGTTTTTAATTTAAATGGTTCAGTTGTTGCATTACCAGCCCCAATTGTAGAATGCATAAAGATATGGATTCTGCAGTCTTCCCTGTGTTACACTTTATTTCATGTAAAATTTTATAAATCTATAGAAAACGTAAAGTTTGTGTGAAGCGCTTTAATTTTACAAAACTAAGTGCTGTGTTTTCACTTTTATTTGAAACAAACCTGTTACTCTTCTACTAGGGTTGGGCAATATTGGCAAAAAAATTAATCACGATTAATTGGGGGTATTTAGCCGATAATGATTAATTTGACGATTAATGCCCTGGAGTCCCTGGACACCTTTTATGTCCTAGTCACATGACCAATTTAGTGGGAAGGATTTGCTCTTCATACAAATCTGTTCCAAATTGTGTCAAAATTACAGACTTCAGTCTATACGTCAAATTAAAAATTCTTTGATGGATAAATTAATTACAGAACTTTTTTTTTCATTCTCGTCATATTTGAAGTGGTGAGGAGCACCAAGTGGACTCTGCCTGGTGGCATTAATCGTATTAATCATCAAGTGCCAAAAAATAATTGATTAATGTTTTTCTGACGATTAATTGCACATGATACTATTATGCCCAACCCTATTTTCTGCCCAGAAAAGATTGGAAGATTATTGATAACTCACATATTTTTTTTAAAATCATCAATTTTATTTTAATTTTTAAATGGTCCTGAAATTTAGAATATATTGCCATTTATTTCTAAAAATGTTGTAGAATCCTGACTGTTTACTTGTTGCTGTATAATACATGACACATGGCTAGTAAATAAATGTAATCTGAGAGTAAATTTCTAGTGGCTGCTCTTTTGAGTTACATATCTGGCAAAAAGTAAAATATGTTGCCTTTTATAGCATAAGGTGTTTTTACCCAGTTGCTAGTTTATTTGGTTGGTATCTGTGAGCGAGTTCTTAGTCTGAGGACAGTGGGCTATTCAGTAATCTGTGAAGTGGGGGTCGAGTCGAGCAGGTGCAGAGACTCACTTCTATACTTGAAACTATGGACGGGGTAGCAGCTGTGGCAGGGAGCAAAGGATTTTCTGATTTCCGGAGTAGACAGCCACACACTCATTTAAACCTCTAGGTACTCTGAAGATGCCTGCCAGAAATCATTAAACTGCTTCTCAACTTCCAAGCTGTTATGTGCTATTAAATTTAATCTGTTTATTTTCAGGTATGAAAGTGTCCAAAGCAATTTCACTGATATTGGTAAAAGTCTAAAAACATGTTTGTTTTCTTCCACTCACAGGTTGCAGCTTAAAAGAAACGGACGATAATGTGCGGCGCCTCACCCTCTTCCTGCCTGTAGAGGAAGCGGCTGTGCCAGCATGTCCTCTCATCCCCAGTCTTTGCCGCCAGGCCGGAGAACTTTGGATGCACGGCACCTGCCAAACCCTGCCACCTTACCACTGCATCTGCAACGAACACACCCGGTGAGAGGCTCTGCACTCGGTGCATGTGGAATAATCACAGAGGGGTCTCTTGTTACTTATCTAGAAAGCAATGTGATTGACTGGAGTAAAGCCTTAACTCAGTTCTGTTCTTCCCACTAATGTTCATTCCACAGAAGCRTTCCTGGTTTATAAAGTGGTGCGCTGGAATGGGTTCCTCATTAGATGTTTTAGTTGAAAGTTCATGTTGGTGTTCTGGAGTCACATTAAGGTCTTCCTCATTATTTCCCACCATTTCCTAATTATCATGATTGTGGCTACATTCGTACTGCAGAGAAATGTGACCCAAACTCAATTCTTTTACCTCATTGTTCTTATGATTTTCTTTGTTCTGGATAACTGAGAATCCACAGAAACATATGATAGTAGTTGGACTCAGACCATATATAAACTAAAGTTACTCAATTGATACTTTATGTTGAGCTTGTTGTGAGTCAGATGGAAGTCACATTTAAAGTATAATGTGAACGTCCCAGCCAAATAATCAGATTTATTAAAAAAATGAGTATCAAGACCTGCACTGTGAGCGTAGCCCATGTTCTTGTACATACCACAGAAAAGGCTGCCTGTGCTTCAAAGAGGAGGCCTATTTGCTGGACTAGAAGTGCTTTTTTGCGACCCTCAGTTTGTTTCTCTGTTTGAGAGTCTCATTCGTAGATTCTCCACAGCTGCACCTGTTGTTAGGCCTACCACTCCAACTTGTCATTATAGTCACGAGAAGATAAGGGTTGTGGACTGTTTCCTGCAATCACAGGTGTGCTATAGAAATATGGGGCAGCTACTGTAAACTTTCACCTCTGCCCAAGTGGAAATAGAGGAAATAAAATCTGGAGAAAGGTGACATAAATTTTCACAAGAAAACAGATGTACTTTTTTTCTTTTCCAAGAAGAAATTATTGCAACTAATGTCATTCTGATGAGGTAAAAGTAGCTGTTTTTTGTGTTTCAGGAAGTAGGACTGGTTGACTACCACTCACACCATGCCAGGGACTACAGCTCTCACCTGGCACAACCCCATCGCCGCCGACCGTCCTTACTTTCAGAGTTCCAGCCTGGGAATGAAAGGTAGGAGCTCTGTGCTCATATTTTGGCTCATTTGGTCAGTCAGCACCATCAGAATCAGTTTTATTGGCCAAGTATGTTGACACACATAAGGAATTTGTTTCCGGCTAATGATGTCTCTCCAGTACACATACAGCATAAACAGTGATGGAAGCACAACAGCATAAGACATAATAACAAACATTCTATTAGGTGGATTATATACAACTAATTTATGTACAGTAACTGTGCACGGGGTGCGTGTGTGTCATAAAGGTGAAAAGGGGAGGTTAGGCACTAGTTAGCAGGTCTGATGTTTGGAATTGTTCATGTTTCATTAACAATTCATGAACATTTTGTTCATGAATAAATGTTTCATTTTTTAACAAGCACCATGGTTCTATATATGATACGTTCATATTTTTTAATACTTCAGCTCTGTTGCATTCTTTTTTTGTTGCTAGCAGGTTTACCACACTGTGTGGTATTTGTGTTTTAATAAAAGTAGTAGTGTGTCAGGCAATATTAGGAGGAATGTGAGTATTTGATAATAGTRCAACTGGAAATCGACCTGCTGTTTCTAAGGTTTTGTGTTATGGTTGTATTGGTCCATTATTTAAGTCAATGTTTTGTGTTTGAGCTGCTGAGGGTCAGAGTGTGCTTGAGAGAGATTTATTCAGTCTTCATTTCTACACAGCAATATTTTACTAAAGCCTCCAACTATAAAACCTTTTTACAGTAATCCTTATGTAATTGACAGCCGTGAGCCATTCCTTTTATAACGCTGTTAATGGTTCTCTAAGTCTGAGGAGCCCAAAGATTTTTTAAATGTACTTTTTAAATTTATTTTTCTATTCTTAAAGGGAACCGTGATTGCTTGTAACATCAGACATTATGGCAGGAACTAACACCATATATTTTATTATAGAAATTTGTAAGAAAATTGTGATAAGTATATTGAAAATCTGGCTAAAATAGCAGAAAACTAGTTAATTCTCTTCTAAAAACCTAGTCTAATCAGGCCACAGCATGCCTCAGAGTGGAAAGGCCTTAAGTCTAATCATATATAGGGCTGTGTATTGGCAAGAATTTGGCGATACGATACATATCATGACAGAGGGGTCACGATACGATATAT